GAGGCGTTGACGTTGGGGCAACCCTCAGACATGAAAATCCGGATTAGCTTCGAGATAACGGGCGAAGAGATCCTTAGCATCTTCTTGAGAGAGTTTGGTTACTTCTTTGACCAAATCTCTAGGTTTGTTGTCGAGATCAATGAGGTTGGGTTCCTCTCTGACCGTTGTAGCGCGGACATTGGTGGAATTTCCTTTATTCCATTGTCCTGATCTTTGGTTTGTCTGAGGACGGTTGCCTTGTTGCGAGCGATTGGGTTGGTATCTTCCTTGTTGGTCGCGTTGCTGGGGTTTCTTGGGCGAAGGACAATTTCTGGCAATATGTCCCTTGCCTTCGCAATTGAAGCATTGTCCTTCTCGGCGTGTTTGGTCTCGGGATACGGCATCGATGTCCATGGCATCGGGGTCGCGTTCCTGAGTTCTTCCTCCTCCTCCATTTCCTCCGGAGTGAGAGGTAGTCTTGTTGATCCTTCCCCTTTGTCTTCCTCATCTGAGCTTGTCCCATTCTATTTCTGCGTTGTCCAGCTTGAGTGCTTCTTCTTGCCATCCTTGGAGTGTGGTTGGCTTCTTTTCTTGTTGGATGAGAGTCTTTGCAAGGACGGATTTGAGTCCTCCTGTATAGGTACGTTGGAGGTAGGTGTCTGTGCTCAGGTTGTTGTACTTGGCTTCTTTGACGAGTTGGTTAAATTTGACGTTGTAGTCATTGACTGAATCGAAGTCTGACTGCATTATTCTGTTGAGTTTTACGATGGCGTCGACTTCGCTATCCACCTTCTGAAAGGCTTTGGCAAAGTCTTCCTTGAATTTGGTCCATGTGGGCCAAGTTGTGCTGGCTTCGTATTCGTCAAACTTGGTGCGACACCAGTTGTGTGGCTTCTTCTCGGTGTTGTTGAGTACAAAGAGAATTTTCTTTGCATCCTTGGTTGTGTCTTTGCCTTTAAAGTAGATGTCGCAGTCTTTCAGGAAGTCCTGAATTTGCTGCGTGCCATCGAACTTCTGGGGCTTTGGAGTAGAGGCATGTTTGTTTGCTTTTTGAAGTGCCTCAATCATTTCTCGCATGAGAGTATTTGTATCTGTCATTGTGGAGGATGTCTGAAGTTGTCTGGTAACTTCGTATATTTCCTCCTGTCGTTCAGGTGGGATAGGTACGTCGAGATTCGGGAAGGGAATATCGAATGGTTCGAGTCTGATTTCTGGTACCTGAAGTAATCCTTGTACTTCGGGTGTTTCGTCGTCTACTTCAATAGAGGTAGAGGTTTCTGCCCTGCTGGGTGCTTGGCTATGTCTGCGAGATTGATCGTATGGGTGTGGTGTCTGTGGTCTGGATGGTGGTACGCTAGCGGATAGTTGAGTTGCTTGTTGGGCTTGTTCTTCTCTAAGCCTGGCTTCTTCGTTAAGTCTGTCCCTTTCTCGAATGAATTCTTCTTGTGCTGGGTCGCAGAGGACGAGTCCTTGTGGTACTCGTACTGTTCCTTGATATGCGTAGTATCGGTTGGGGCAGAGTTGTTGAAAACAACGTCTCCAATGTCCTTCGTCGTATCGATGGTAGTCGTGCCTATTGTCAGGCCTAAAGTTATGTCTGTGTGCTGCTGTGGCGCAGTCGTTCACCCCAGTTGCTTGTGGAGTAGTCGTCTTGACTATTCTTCGTGGCGTAGACCTGTCTTAGGTTCGCCTTGTTGAGAAGCTTTCAGCTAATGTTATGACAGAGGTTTCTTAGCAAGCCTGAAGCTTGTCTGATCGTCTTATCCGCAGATGAGGTTAGAGCAGAATAAAGAAACGTGAATATACGAAGGAGCTGAAAGCTGAGATACTACTGTACATGCGCGGGGTATTTATACTATTGCTCAACCTAACCTAAGGACTAGTCTACTAGTCAAAGGGACTGCGGGTGAGTCAGGGAAGCTGCGCTCTATGAGTCGGAAGTGAGTCGTACTACTAGGCTATAGTCAGAGACAAAATAGGAAATGATATCCCATGCCACCATGCCCATCATAACATGAGTGGGTGATGTGTGGGTGATGTGCGGGCGATCTCCTAGCAAGTGGCCATCAATGCGCGGGGCGATGAGTGGGCGCACAGCAGACGATGAGAAGGGGGCAATAGGCCATGAGTGGGTGACCAATCTTATGTCTGAAAACAATACCAGTTTTTTCCATACAAGTTTCCCTGATAAAAGTCCAGCTTTTCTACCTCATATTTTGTGGAGACAGGAACCACAAAATAAGTTTGTTCTTTTTGTCTCACCTGGAAGGAATCTTTTTGGGGAAAATGTGGAGAAAGAAATGATGATGATTTCGCCCTGAGAATATTTCGACTCTCCTAACACCTCAAAAGGTGTAAAAGCAGTGTATCTTTTCATACCACTAAAACAATAACATCCCCATAGGAAAATAGCTTAAGTGTATTTACGAAACAAACTGAATGTGTTTTTGTACCTCTATCCGCGCAAAATAGTATAAAATTAGCCCCGTGATA